GTCTCTTCTCTGCCACCAGGAGGCTTAGAGGTGGCTTACTTTTGTGACCGATGTTATCCTGGATGTTGCCCTACTTTTCCTTTCAGCTCTGTAGCCCAGATGCATCGTTCTTACTAATTGCACGCATGTCCGGAAGTCCCTTTTGGAGCAAGGCAGGTTGGAAACGTGAAAGGAAATAAGACAAAGGGCTGGGATAAGAACCTCAATACACATATTTCAAAAAGGAATGTCCAGGGCCTCCCTGATGGCCTGGGGGTTAAGTCTCGGCACTCTCACTGCTGAGGTCTGAGTTCAATCCCCGGCCAGGGCGCTGACCCACAGGGCACAGCAGACCTCTCCTGTCCCCCCCCACAACCGCTCCCCTTGGCAGTGGACTTCAGTCAGTCTGCCTGTTCTGATCCCCACTCTGTCTCTGGTGAATTCCCTCAATCTCCATACCTCTGGCCTGTACCCAGTTCTGTATACACAGATAAATAAATCTGAAAAAAAAAAAAAACAGATGGCATTTCATGCTTTGGCATCTGATTTTTTGACAGGGTTCATGATCTTATCAGGCGAAAAAAGGGGACCCACTCGATGTCAGATGACACCGTCTATTAATGCATATAAATGACTCAAGATCTCTTCCCTGCAATGTACAAGAGTGTGCACCGGGCATCCACAGGGCAGACGAGAGCTTTCGGCCATGCAGCTGGCAACACTGAGCCTCCGCCAACTTTGTGGCACCTCTGAGCACTGGCAAAGCTTGGGGTCTTTGTGCCCTTTATGTCACACACAGCAGTACAGCAATGAAACCCACGCTTGCCTCTAGTAACCAGCTCTGGCTCACGGAGGCAGAGTGATGAGGGAAAAGGTTTGCGCACGGGGGGACACCACCAGGGCAGACCTCTGAGTGCTTTGGGGCACCTCCTCCTCCCAAGACTTCTCTGACTGAGACGTGAGAGGTCACCGGGGCTGCTCAGAGGTCTGGCTTTAGGAGCGTCTACAGCAGGAACACGCGCTCGTCCAGGCTACAGGAAGGTGATGAACGCAGGACACAGCCTCGTCCTCCAATACCAGAGACTGTAGGGCCCGCACCCCGGACTCGCCTGCCTCGCGGCCTCTCTTTACATATGCATGTGTGCAGGCTACCTTGTGTCTATGTGCCCACACAAACACATGTGATCACGTGTGTGCCTACACATGTATGCTTATGCTGTATGCCCACATGTGGATGTTGCTGTGCATAAAATAAGCATGTGCTATGTATACTTAAATGCAAGTAGAGAGAGAGTGGTAGAGAGAAAATGATATGTCCATGTGCACACATACACACCCCGCTAGGCAGTCCAGTTCCATTCCGTTCCACTGTATTAAGTTCAACCAACATTTGGAGTCTCTGCCACATGCCAGGCCTGCCCCAGGCACTGGTACACAGAATTACATGTGTCTCATCAAGTCAGGATCTTGCCATGCAGACAGGGGCGGGTACCGTATCTCTCCACCTCCTGGTCACTGACAACAGAGGGCAGCATGGACTGGTGGTCCAGACCAGGCGGTTAAGACAAAGGCTCAGGTCTGCAGGCGGGACCCAGACTCAGCTCCACCCCCTCCAAGCTGCGTGAGCTGCCACACGTTGAGGCTCAGGGCCCTGTGGATCCCGTCGGCAAAATATGTGCCCCACAGCAGCTTCCTGGCAGTGTGGGGAGGACTGCATGTTTTAAGCACAGGTGCAAGCAGCTGGCACACAAGACATACCCATAAAAGGGGGCTTTTATTATTACTGTCATTACTCTCAATGAGATGAGTGTGAGGTTTGTAAAAGAGAGAGGTGGGGGTAGCAGGGGACACAGCTGGGAGAGGTGGTACAAGGAGTAGGCGTTGGTAAGAGCAGCAAGGAGAAAAGGAATTCCAAGGATCCAAATGAGCTTGTGCAAAGGCCCTGTGGCACAGAACATCCTGGCACGTTCCAGGAAGGGCCAGCAGATGGGGCAACCAGGTTTAGGATTCAAGGTCCAAGAGGAGCCAGAGACAAATCTCAAAGAGCCACCAAAAAGCCTTAAACAAGATAAGAGCAAATCTGATGTGCTTTCAGAAAGCTTGAGTACTACCCCGCCGAATATGACTCCACCGCCCCCGGGTCACCCAGTGATCAGCAGTGACCACGGACACCCTTGGAGAAGTGAGACCGGCTCTCAAGTTCTCTCCTCTCGTCACAAGTCTTCCAGCTGTTTGTTTTAGTAGCTATGTGGCTCCCCCCCCCCCACTGCTGGTGTTGCTGCTGCGAAAGGGTCCCCCCTTTGACCAGACTCATCTTAAATACTCATCTTTCCGAGCACAAGGGGAGACTTAAGTCACCACTTCTCAGCATTCTTAAGTGCAGAGTAAACGTTCGCTCACAAAGCGTGCACGTGCAATGTGTGTGCTGTGGTCAGAGGGGACCTGGAGGTGGTGGTGGGGGGTGGATGTGGGAGGCACAGCCAAGACAGGAGAGCTGGGGGTGGGGTGGGGGGGGAAGGCTGTCGAGTCGGCAGAGGTCACTGACAGAGGAGCAAGAACAGGGCGGTGGTTTGAAAGGGGTGGGGCCGGACAGGCCCGAACTGCAAAGTAAAGTTCAAGGGGCTTTAGTGACAAAGCAGGTGGCTGGAGAGGACAGATGCAGACAAGCCCCAGGTCCGTCAGCTTATTCTCTGTTCAAAGATGGGCTGGGCCAGCTCCGGCCTAGACACTCCCCTACCTCCGAGCCTGCGTGAAGTCAACAGCCGGAACAGCCAACTTCGCTCGCCCCAGGCCCCACTCTGCCATCTTAGAGCACAGGCAACAGGCAGGAGGAGGGGTCCTGGATGAGCAAAGGGAGTTAAACCTCCAAGTCCCCCACACCCAGCATGCCAGTTCCCCCTCTTTCTGGATCTGCCGGCTTAGGGTCTGGTGTTAGATTTTCATGAGACAAAGATGGCTCCCCCCACCCCAGTTCTCTTCTTTCCTTTATGACAGTGGTGAGGCGCAAGGCAGGGATGCTGACCCCCCACCTTCCCCATCCTACTACTGCACCCGGCAGGCCAACATATGGCGGTGTCTGTGTGTGTGCCAGAGGGGTGAGTCACTTCAGACACGCGTCAGGGTCCGCCAGGCCAGCGTGGCAGGTGCCGTCACTGCCCTGGGCTGCCTCTTGATGATGTGGTCATCACAGCCTGGGTCTGCTGGGCATCAGTGGCGGGGAGGGAGGAAGGGTGAAGGGAAGGTGGGGGGGGGGCGTGTAAAATGGGGGAAAAGACAAAGCCAAATAAGCACGTGGTGAGCCATCAGCGGACACTCCCAACTTCTCAGGCATTTTGTGGTTAACTGAGACACTCAAGGGACCCCCGCAGCATGGACAATAATAACAGCTTCTCTCCATCACTCTGGTTTTCCACACACTTTTTCCTCTGCAAAGGCCAAACAATGAACTGTTTACTGAGCATCTACTAGGGACAGGTCCTCTGCATCTGACTAACCACCACAGGATTTCCTTTCATTCTTTTCTCTTTCAAGTATTTTAAGCACTGATTGGGATGCTTGACGTTTATTATTACAAATGTTTTCAGAAGCTTCGGGCTCCAATGCCCTGCAGGGTTTTTCTGGGCTTTGGGCTTGGTTTTGTGGTCTTTGTTTTCTTTCTACTATTGTTCTTTCACCTAAAACTTTCCTTTTCTTTTTCCTACTCTCTGATTTTTAGTGTGTGGGGGGTGAGGGTGGGGGGGGGGAAATCTAGCATCTGGAGGTTGAGACCACTTGAAGTGTCTGGGCCAGGGATTGCTAATGACCTCCCAGAGATAACCCAAATTGCTGATTTAGCAAAGCCCATTCTTGACCTTGACACAAGACAAGCCAAGCCAAGGGGAAGGCCTTGTGAAGGGGCCATGGAAGAAAAAGGATCATGGAGGCGCTGGGATTCCACTCGGCCCCTCCCCCATTCAGCCAACACCTGGCTGAGTTGGAAAACATGACCGGCCCACCCTTCCCATCGGAGCCAATTGAAGCTGTCAGCTCTCGGCTTGTCACCAGTTGCACTGGGAGGCCCCAGGCAGCCACAAGAGCCCTAATTAGGCAGAAATGACACTTCTACAACTGACCTGCCAGGACCTTTGGCAAACCATTTAACATCATTAGTTAACATTTTTAAAAAGTGTGAATGTAAATGAACAGCCAGTGGCTTTCAATGGAGTTTGTCGGTGGCATCTCCCCCCACCCCTCACTCTTTCTCTTTTTACATGAATAGTGCGCTTGTTTTCCCCAGGCTGCGGATGAAGGGAGAGGAGGCCCGTCCTCCTCTGGGAGGAGAAGCCCGTGAAAGCATAAAGGCGCTCAGGGCAGTGGGGATGTGGCTTCCGCCTCGCAGAGGCCGAACAGGCGCCTCCGCCCAGGCTGGGCAGGCTGCAGCCATGCAGGTCCCGCCCCTCCAGCCGTCTGTGAGCGTGAAGGTGCCTGCTCTCCGCGTGGGTGGGGGGGCAAGGATCTCCTTTCTTGACCCACTGGTACCTCTGCACCTGGGCCACGCCCGACGACACGGCAGGTCCCCTCCCAGGCCCCCACAATAGAGCGAACACCACGGCCAGAGAGAGGTCACTATGTCTTTGGTTTTGCAGTGGGGACGAAAGTGATGTCTAGACTGCACGAAATCGGCTCCGTGTGAGAGCGACGTATCTAACATACCGATGTGAACGACGTCACCGCTAAGGGCCGTCAAGCATCCTCGGCACCCAGAGCGAGTCTTAATCTTTTTTGCTGGTGGAGGGTTTTGCGGAAAGCGCCCCATCCGCGAGGGGAGACCAGGAGCCGCAGTCAGCGATGTGCCCTGGAGCTCTCCCGCCTCTTAGCACCGGGCACCGGGCACCGTCAACAAGCAGGGGCTCTGTGCAGGTGGGCAAACCTCCTCCATGAGCCAAAGTCTATGTGCCCCGAGCCTCTCCCTTGAGGACCCAGTCTACAGGTGACTGCTGCAGGCGCAGGTGTGATACTTACGCAAAGTGCCCATTTCCTACCTGTAGCGGCTATTTCCCACCTTGAGTCACACTTCATTTTGCTCTTGGCTGTGCACCCACAGAATCCGTACACACCAACACTCTCCATCTGTGGGAGGGGAGGAAAGAGTTTCACTGTGAAAAGGTCATGCTGTCCGCCTGTGCCCACGTTGCGCTCGACGCTGGTGCTGCTGGACGGCTGACGCGCAGCGGGCCGGGGGCGGCCAGGCCGCGGCCCAGGGGCGGCACAGGGGCCTGGTCTGGCAGCCTTTGCACTTACCACCTACTGGATGTGTGGCCTTGGGCGGGATGCTTAGCCCTGAGTCTCAGTGTTTTCATCTGGAAGACAGAGATAACGCCTTACTACTTTGAGTGACAGACAGAAAGATGGCCGCATCACGAAGCCGGAGCGCGTGGGGAAAACGTGACGCTGCCAGACAGCCTTGCGCCAGCTTCTTGGCCACCACTTTCCTTCCAGAGATTAAACTCTGAACCTGTCCTCTGGCTTCCCAAGGCTCGCTGGACAAGCCAGGCTCCGCCAGCACAGCCCGATCCCCTGACCCCTACCTCGCTCCTACTCCTTCCCAAAGGGCTGTAAGCACCCCAGGAAGAGTGCAGGTGCCTCGCCAGTCCCTAAACCCCTGGACTCTTTAGGTGCCAGGCTCCCCGCTGGTTCCTAAACAGCAGCATAGTGAAACACATCCATGCCTGCTTCCAGATTTTCCGGAACCCAGAGAACAGTGGTGGCCCACATAGTAGATGCACAATAAATGCCCTGAGCCGCCAGGGGCCCGGGCAGAGTGGCGGGACATGGGCTGATGCAGGGAGCTCAGACCCCAGATTTGGAGAGCTCTGCGCGCCTCTGAATTAAAGGTGAACAAGTGCAAAGGGGGGGTGGGGGTGGGGGAGGCATGTGATGCATGCCTGTGAGAAGTCATGAGAAAGAGGCAGAAGAAAGCAATCTTGGTTTGGGGCAGAAAGAGTGAATATCCTAGAAAACGGCCTTTAATAACAGTAAATGGGACAGGGAGAGAAAAGCTCCTCCTGATGGTGCATTTAGTGCTTTTAAGCTAAATACCTCAGCATATTAAGCAAATAGAGAAAAGCCAGCTAGAAGATGTCAGCAAATTGAACGGAACACAGCTCAGAAAGCCGATAGGAGGTGTCTGGCTTTGACCCCTGTTCCCGTCACATGGCCCTTCCGCCTGTTGTTTAGTATTGCTTCTCCTCTCCAGCTGCGGGGCTTATTGAAAAGCCCTTGCTCCCTGCCTGGTTTTGGCACATTTTCTGCAGGTGCCTCCTACTGTGGCCACAATGGGCTGCTCGGGAGGTTTAGACCTGTCAACAGCTACAGGGAGGGGGTGGCGGCTGCACCATCCTCTTAAAGGGCCAGTGACACTGTGCGCCCCAGAGCCTCCAGCCCGGCACCAGCTAATGAGATGAATCTTTTCTGCGCTCCCCCTTGCTCCCTTTAATGATTTAACTTGATCGCTTGGGTTCCTTTCTGGAAGGGGAATTGCTCCATTGATCATATAAAGCAATTGCCTGTAAAACATTGCTTCCCAACAACTACTACCTTCTAGGCTGAAAATGTCACCTCAATTGAAAAGCTCTCAGCGCAGTTCAAGAATGAGGCTGCTGGACGTCAGGCTTTACCTTGGTCCCCAAGCCCTCCTGGGTTCTGAGAATTACAAGTTTGTTGGTGTGAAGAGTGGATGCTAAGACAAAGAATTTCACCTGCTGTAGGAGAGGGATGATTTGGGGAGAGATTGTAGAGAGCCAAGCCAAGTTGAACCAACCCAACAAAAATCCCTCCACCCTAAAATTAGATCTATTCCTTCAGGGAAGGAAATCATTCTCTTAACCACTCACACCACCCTTGACTCATGGATTCTGAAGGGGCACCCCTGTGGGTGCAAGTGTGGTTTGGGGGAGATTCTTCATCTTTACCACACAAGAGGACAGGACAGCTCTGTCTCAGAGGGGAGGGGGGGGGGGCTTGGTTTGGGGAAGGAATCGACGCTCTTGTTGTTTGAGATTCTCGATGTCCCCAACCTGTCACTTGGCGGCAGCAGTGACTCACTGTGAGAAGGGGGACCTCACACTTAAGGTGTTTCATAAATACTTTATTAGCCATTACCACGCAGACACGAGGATGTCATTCATCTGGGGGCAAGTGTGGGCATGAAGCTGCCAGTGGAAATAAACAGCTGAAAATAAACACACACACACACAGGTGAAAGCCTCCGTTTGGATCTAAAAGGGGGGGGAAGAAGAGGGGAGACTTTTTTCCATCTCATTGGAGGGAATCTCCACTAGTTAGGCGAGAGTATGCCATGACTAATTCAGGAACAAAGCTGCAGGTGTATCATGTTCTGCTGGATTGAGCCAGAATCCTTCCTTATTGATAATGAAGTAAGAGCAAGAGACCGCTTACTGCTCTACTGCAACAAACAAAGGCCAAAGCATCTGCTTGACAAACCAGAGTATAGAGGACGGCTGTGTAGAAAGGCTATTGGAAAAGATAGAGCTGAAGAAAGTCATAGACCTTTTGACCTCAAAATTGCCTGCGAGGTCCTGGTACAAGCACCGAAAGGGTTAACAGGTGCGGTACCTTTATTCTCCCCGGCCTTAGGGATTTGGTAGTTTTACAAATCTTTTTAGATTGCCAGCATGTGCACGACATTTACTTAGGGAGATTACACATACCCCAGCAAGGTATGCTGTCTCTAATAAGATGTGTTTTTTCCCCTAATCTACCCACAGAGTGAAGAGAAGAAAAATTCTGTAAGACTAAGCCCGCCAAAGAAACTTCCCTGGCTATGAAGAATTAAGTCGAGTCTTTCACCAGCCACTGGAGTTTTGTTCTATTTTCTTAGATGGGGAGGTCTTTGTGTTTTTGGGGGGTGGGGGTTCTAGAAAATAAGGGTGTGGAACTGAACAACCCCGAAGCTGCCTGCCCCTCTGATTTCCTTGCCGGTTAAAGCCATTCTTACACTGGCGAATGCACAGATGAGCAGTAAGTACCACCACTTCCAGCAGCTTTGCCTACGAGATGGGCGGTCAAGACAGAGGAAAATGGGTTGAGTGACCCGTGGAGTCACGAAGAGCCTGAGTGTCCACAGCTATAACCGAAGGCAGCAGGCTGTGAGGGAGGGTGATGCTCACAGGAAGGGCGAGGCTGGGGCTGGCCAGCCGCTGGGGTTCGGCTGGCCATGTCCTCTGCTTGAACTCCCTGAGCAGGAAATTGTACAAGGAACAGTGTTTTGACATCATTTCAACTCATTTCTGGAGGGGGGAGAGAAAGAACATCTGAAGAGAAGAAAATCAGGCCCAACCAGCTCATCCTCAGTAGGACAAATGTCAGATCTGACAGCAGCCTCAGACTGGTTTCACCCTGCACCTTGTGTGGCTTATCGGGACACCGTGCACCAGCGGGCACTGAAGTTTAGCAACAACAAAGTCGGGCTCCACATCTTGTTGCCCGTGGGGGTCTCCACACACTTTCCAACCACCTGATTTCACAAGGTACAGACTGCCCTTGGGCTATGTTTGTTTGACCTTTATGACAAGTGGGAGTTAGAAAGATGCCTCCTGGGGCCGTAAAGATGAAAGAATGCATTTTTAAAAGGGCGCCACATTCCTACATCCACGCACACCTCACCGATGCAGTGGACACAGTGATAAGAGGTAGGCCCTGGCTCATAGGTGATTACTCTGAAGGGTGACAGCTGCAGACACTTCGACCCTAGAGCTTTATTTATTTACGGTTTACATTTATTACCCACATGTATCTCCCCATGGTCACTGGGTGGTTTCTACTTTGTATTTTACAAGTGCTTTAGAGCTAAACAAAAAGTGATCGGGCTGATGGGTGACGGCGTCCGTACCTGCTGAAATGTTTGTGTTCCAAATATAAAGTGTGCTAATTCCCAGTTGGAGAATGATGTGACTCTGAAATTTGCTTTGAAAGCTCCTGGCTTAACACAGACCTGCTAACGAGGGAAGGAGTTTGCTGTCCTCTCCCCTGCAACACGCGCAGGACTGCTCCTGAGGCGCATTTCAGCGCAGGGAGTGTGACAAGTATCTGGCTCCACAAGCTCCCTCGCACCGGCTTTACACCCCTCTCCCACGAGAGCTGGCTTCTGCTTTTCACTGACAACATTTTTCTTGTAATTACATGCCACAAGGTTCCCCTTCTCCCAAAGCTGGGAAAGCACTCAGTCGCCAAAGAAGCGTTCCCATAGTTTTCCCAGGGTGACAAAGGACTGCAACCCTGTCTGTCCTTCCAGAGTGGCAGCTGCCTTTAAAATACCCGGTGAAATAGATGCCCGTCGGTCATCAGCACGGGTATGTCAAGCGTAGGGGAGACAGGATGCGGGAGGGTTAGCCCTGGGGCTCACTGTGGACGGCACGGTGGGCCTACCACAGAGTGACCAGTGGGTTGGTCCTGACGGGAATGCTCAGCCTGAACCCCGGCGGGAAAAGGCACGTGCGAGCATGTGTGTGTGTGCACGTATGCACGCGTGTGTGGGTATGTGTGTGTGCATGTGTGTGTGCATGTGTGTGTGTGTGTGAGAGAGAGAGAGAGAGAAAGAGAGAGTGTTCTGACCCACCAGCTAGGGCTGAGCTTCAAGCCAAGCAGAACAGGGCTCTTTTTCTCAGCATCAGGGCTGAAAGGGAGTATGAGAAGTTCAAGATGGGCCCTCAGAGAGTCAGGAGGACAGGCACACGGGAAGGTAAAGCACTGATTTTCAGTTAAATAAACCACAAATACAGGGTGATTCCTTTCATTTTCATGTAACAAGTACCATTTGAAGATAAAAAATCGAAGTCCTATTAAGAGGTCTTATCATTTTGAGTCTTTCACTTTGTTTTTCCCACTTTCGCAGATTTATAATTATCTCAAAAAAAAGACAACTAATTTTCCAACAGTGGATTTATAAAAAAAACAGGCAAAATTACTAATTACATGAATAGATACTATCGCTCTGGCAAAGGGCATAGTTCAGAACTCAATGTGGCTGTACTTTCGATAAAGTAATAAAAGATGATGTATAGGAAAATAATCCTTCTCAAACTTATAAAATGGTCTGTAAACACACTACT